AAAAAGAAAAAGAAAGATGGAAAGAAAGCAAAGAAAGAGAAAGAAAAAAGAAAAGAGGACAGAGAAAAAAGAAGAGAAAAAGGAGAGAGAGAAGACAGAAAGAACGAAGAGAAAAAGGGAAAGAAAAAAGAAGAGAAGAGAAAAAGAAGAGAGAGAGAAAAGAAGAAAGAGGGGAGAGAAAAAAATATGAGAGAGAAAAACAGAAGAGGAAAAGGAGAGAGAAAGAAAGAGAAAAAAAGGAAAAAGATAGGGACCTACCAAATTCATGGCAGAACATTTAATCTTGCAGGTTCCCCCGCGTGCCCCTGCAAAACCTGCAGTTTTAAACTTTACCCCCTTTTTAAATCCCTGTTGCTAATTGGCCGAGGGCCCCAGCAGCTCCACTGCGTGCTGCTGACCAGCAGAGCGGCAAAATCGGTGCCATGTTTAAAACCGTGGTATTTGCTTCCCTGATGATTCATGAGGGAAACCCCTGCAGTTGCTGGGGGGAACGAGGGAGGTTGTTACATCGTTTTATCCCAGTTTAGCAAGCAACCCCAGGCTGGCAGAAGAGGCAGGGGGAAGCGACAGGGCTGGGCTCTGCCGTGGACATCGCGAGTCAGAAGGTGGAAGGGGTTGGGACAGGGGGGCTCATGCTGTGCCTTGCTCGGCAGCTGGTCCCAGGGGTGGGCAGGGGCAGCAACAGCCAGAGTGCACATGGCTCTGCCTGCCGGCTGCGTTGCTTCCAGAGCGCCCAAAGAAAGCAAAGAAAGAGAAAGAAAAAAGAAAAGAGGACAGAGAAAAAAGAAGAGAAAAAGGAGAGAGAGAAGACAGAAAGAACGAAGAGAAAAAGGGAAAGAAAAAAGAAGAGAAGAGAAAAAGAAGAGAGAGAGAAAAGAAGAAAGAGGGGAGAGAAAAAAATATGAGAGAGAAAAACAGAAGAGGAAAAGGAGAGAGAAAGAAAGAGAAAAAAAGGAAAAAGATAGGGACCTACCAAATTCATGGCAGAACATTTAATCTTGCAGGTTCCCCCGCGTGCCCCTGCAAAACCTGCAGTTTTAAACTTTACCCCCTTTTTAAATCCCTGTTGCTAATTGGCCGAGGGCCCCAGCAGCTCCACTGCGTGCTGCTGACCAGCAGAGCGGCAAAATCGGTGCCATGTTTAAAACCGTGGTATTTGCTTCCCTGATGATTCATGAGGGAAACCCCTGCAGTTGCTGGGGGGAACGAGGGAGGTTGTTACATCGTTTTATCCCAGTTTAGCAAGCAACCCCAGGCTGGCAGAAGAGGCAGGGGGAAGCGACAGGGCTGGGCTCTGCCGTGGACATCGCGAGTCAGAAGGTGGAAGGGGTTGGGACAGGGGGGCTCATGCTGTGCCTTGCTCGGCAGCTGGTCCCAGGGGTGGGCAGGGGCAGCAACAGCCAGAGTGCACATGGCTCTGCCTGCCGGCTGCGTTGCTTCCAGAGCGCCCAAGCCACGATGCTACGCCCCCCGGCAGGCAGGCTGCCAGCCGCCCCAGCACTTCTGGCATGGAAACCTAGCAGAGTTAATGCCGGTGGAATTTGCCACCATGGCCAGTGGGCTCCAAAAAGGGAGGCATCCCCTACCCCAAGCAGTGCAGGCTCCCAACCTCAGAGGGCTCCAGGTCTCCCACACCCACCCACACACAAGCTCCCCTGCTACAAGCGCCAGCTCCCCAAGGCAAGTAGCTCTCCCCCCCTGCCAGCCCACCCTGCTTACACTCCACAGGAACTGTATCTTGTTGTCAATTCATTGGGGAAGTGAAAACCATGGTTTTTAACATGGCGCCTTTTTTGCCTCTTCACATGTCAGCAGCAAGCAGTGGGGCTGTCGGGCCCCTCAGTCAATCAGTGGTGGGAAGACAAAAATGGAGCCGAGTTTAAAACTGCAGTTTTTGCCTCCCTGCCCATCAGGAGCAAGCTGCAAGCACAGCCCCTCCATTAATCAGTGGCGGGGTGGGGTGCACGTGGTGGAACCCACAAGATTAAAGGTGTTACCACACACACCACTTCTGCCATGAATTTGGTAGGTCCCTAGAAAAGGAGAAAGAGCGGGGAAGGGAAAGGGGAGGAAGAAACTCCGAGGACCGGCTGCCCCCCACCCCCAGCAATACAGGCATGCGGGCAAGCAGTGTGGGCACTGGGTACACAAGCTAGTGCCCACCATTGCCAGTTTCTCTCCCCCTCCCCGCCCCCCCAAGTGTCGCAGCAGGCACCGAGGGCAGAGTCAGGAGTATACAGGCTACCCCCGGCCCCGTGTCTGAGTTTGTGATTGAAACCAAATGTCGAGGTCTGAAGGTTTTTTTGACCCACTTCACCTCTTTTTAAAGGTTCGTAGATTTGGTTTGGGCTTGAAAGCTTGAAAGTTTGTTTAGCTGGGGTTACATACCCATGCTTTAATAAATAAAGCTTTTCTAGCTAACAGAAAGCCTGTCTCATCTATTATGGGTGAGCAAACTCAAAAGCTACATAGACGTAAGTGAATCCCTCCCCATCTCTACATTTAACCTGCCTTCCAATCCTGCAATGATTTAACCACATGCTATGATTCATGTGATTAGTGGCATGTGTAAAGTTAGGCATTTACTTAGGTGTCTTGCTTTTGGCTGTTAAGGCCAATGTTGTAGTCATAATGCCAAGACTTGCTTATAGCGACCCCCAAAATTGGGTGGGATAGCTAAGTGCCACCATCACTATAATTACTTCAGACCCATTTCTCATTTTATTCGTCTAGTGGAGTTTTTAGCTTTGACTCCTTTTTCAACAGTCTTTCCTTAACATACACAAACCCAATACTATTAAAGTTCATGCTGGAACTTTTAGACACACCACATAGGGGAAAAAGGAAAAATAACAAGACATCCTTAGTCTGAAGCAACTAAGTTTAATTTGTGGAAACTTCCTTACCCCAGGATGAATAATTATAGAAAAGAACTCATATTTATACCAGTTATTTTTTAACAAGGTGCATAGAGCAGGTAAGCATAATTCATGCTATAAAATACCTCTAATGCCTTCATATACACTCCAACATCAAGTTTCAGACCATCGGTTTCTTTATAATAGCGTCTGGAAATGAAAGTGATAAAGTTGCAATGAAATAAAAATGTTGGCAATTGAACATAAAGAAACTATATTTTATTATTTCTGTGCCTATATAGATGTCCATATGGCTGTAACAAAAGTTAAGTCATCAGAAATTCTAGACCCTTAATTTAACACATGGACATTAAGAACAGACTCTGTGAAATGATGCTGTGCACTGCTATTGGAAAGATCTAACCAGACTGCAGATCAAATGCAGATCTAACATACAGGACACATTTTCACTGAATTTGGCCCCAGGTTTCTGCTTCTAAACTGGTGACCACTGAACACCCTCACAAAGGATGACAGCTGAAATAGTATAACAACAACTACCTCTTGCATAAATAGAACCCAAATATTATTTCAAGGGTAACCTTCCACGTTCCTTCCCCCTTAGCCAGAAAATAACTATTATATCTAGATGCAAGCTATTTGACTGTACTAACAAAATACTGAATGGTTCAAAGTAACACAACCAGTTTTTAAAAGGCTTTTTTGGACGTTTTTCTTATAAATTCATTAGGGGACAAAAGACCAAAATATTTTTCTTATAAATTCATAAGGAGATGAAAGACCAAAATATTAGGACTGACTTAAACAATTATACAGAAATTACCACTCATGAGCACATCAGCTGATTTATTATAAATGTTTAGCCTGTCTGCTCCTACCATGTAGCAAATTAAGTTACATTGTGGCACCTTAACACTTTAATTAAGGGGCAAGCTGCCCAGGTTTAACTTCACTTAGTGTGGCATAGGAGTATACAGATGAAACAGTTGCAGTGAATTTAGGTGAACCACAGTAAATTCTTTCACCCCTTTAAATGGGTATAACTGTTTGTCCATCAACACTTTCTGCCTAGTTTGTTTAATTTAAAACTAAGATTTTCTGAAATCAGCATTTCAAGTAATACAGAAGATGATTTTAAGATGTAAAGAGTAATTACATGCGATGTTGCACTGGTTCCTCCTCCCAATAAAAAGTTTTGACATTAAATTTTAATACGCGGATCTATTGAGACTATTCTTTAAAAAGAAAAGGACACACAACTAATATACATCCAGGAGATACAGAATGATCACAATCATTTAACACAGCCATTATTAAAGGAAATTTATATTTATTTGTATATCAGAGTCACTAATAAATTGCTAGCAGAGAACTAGAAATAGTGAGTATTGGTTAATGCTGTTCTTGGTTATTCTGTTAATGGACAAATTAGTCCATAATATTGTTCCAATAGTTAGCTCAACACACACAGAGGCATTTTTCAAAACTTCTTGTTGAAAAAAGCAGGGTAGTTTTCTCAGGTTTTTCATGCCTACACTAACATCCTTTGAAAGTGTTCCTTCTAACCACCTGGGGTCCTTTTCTGCTGCATATGTATTTGTATTTCCACACAACTTCATGCCATCTCACACAGACTATAAAAAATTAATATTCACTGTAATAAAGGCACAAGATCATAGCTTTTTTTATTGACAAGGTACATGAGAAATGGGAGGAGAAAACTTACATATGTGTGTTGTTTTTAGAAATTATTTAGATACTCTCCTACAGTAGAGAAGACCATGTACATGGCTGTTTATTGAGGAGTACAGTGTGCTCAGTGGATACTTTCTTTTATTGCTAACACCTGATGGGAGCATTAATGAACATATCTCAGGACAGGAGCCATATTAAAATGCACTAATTGCTCATATTTCAGTGGTTTTCTGTAATTTCTTACATTACCATTCCTTAACTTCTGAAACCAAACATCAAGGACAGGAAGAATGTTATTCAACTAATTCAATTAAATTAATTCTGTTTGTTTAAACCAGCAGTGGACATGACTTCAAACAGTTATGCCTAGTTGGCTTGGTTTAAAATTACATTTTTCTGACATTGGCATCAAATGCAAGACAGAGGACAATTTTAATGTGCTCTGCCCAGGTGTCAGTTATTAGCTTGCATGGTTCTCTAGAGCAGCAAGGCTGGGTCACCTCCCAAACACACAGAGCAGTTTTGATTAGCAGGGGCCAGTTTGTAGCATGTTTCAACCATGCAATATTAGAATAGTTCCAAGCGGGTGCTCCCAAATTCTCAGCCATGACGGAAAGCTTTTACAGTGAGACTGCTATCCAGAAACTCTCTTCTGACCTCAGGACCTATTGTTAAATGAATTTCTGTTCCTCATTTTACATCTCTAAATACATAAATGGTTAGCACCAAACATTCTGTCACGTTTGTTTTGTGCCTGAAAATCTAACGCCTATTGCAAAATAATCCCATTGTTCTTCATTTATCAGTTGGACTGCACACTGCAGGAGATACGCGAGAGAGATTGTGCCATTTCAGCCCCTCTTCTAATTAACAACAAACACTTCATATAAGTATTGTTATTATTATTACTTAATGCTATTCATAGAATCATAGAAAGTTAGGGTTGGAAGGGACTTCAGGAGGTCATCTAGTCCAACCCCCTGCTCAAAGCAGGACCATCCCCAACTAGATCATCCCAGCCAGGGCTTTGTGGAGTCAGGTCTTAAAAGCCTCCAAGAATGGGAATTCCACCACCTCTCTAGGTAACCTGTTCCAGGGTTTTACTACCTTCCTAGTGAGAAAGTTTTTTCTAACATCCAACCTAAACCTCCCTTGGTGCAACTAGAGACCATTGCTCCTTGTTTTGCCATCTGCCACCACTGAGAACAGTCCAGCTCCATCCTCTTTGGAACCCCTCTTCAGGTAGTTGAAGGCTGCTATCAAATCCCCCAGCAGTCTTCTCTTCTGCAGACTAAATAAGTCCAGTTCCATCAGCCTCTCTCAGAAGTCATGTGCCCCAGTCCCTGAACCATTTTCACTGCTCTCTGCTAGACTCTGTCCACATCCTTTCTCTAGCAGGGGAAGCAAAACTGGACACAGCACTCCGGATGTGGCCTCACCAGTGCAGAACAGAGGGGAATAATTACTCTCGATCTGTTGGCAATGCTCCTACTAATGCAGCTCAGTATGCCATTAGCCTTCCTGGCAACAAGGGCATACTGTTGACTCATATTCAGCTTACTGTCCGCTGTAACCTCCAGGTCCTTTTCTGCAGAGCTGCTGCTTAGTACGGCTGTGCGAAGCTTCAGTCGCTGATTCAATTTGGAGGAGATTCAGCGGCCAAATCTCTCAATCTGAATCAAATCGGGAGACCCATTAAAAGCTCCAAATTCAATCTGAAGCTTCTCAATCGATTCGGAAATTTGGAGAGATTTGGAGATTAGGATCGGCCGGGGAGAGACAGGCACAGCTGGGTGGCTGCAGGTTCTTCTGTGGCTCCTCTGGCTGTACCTGTCTCTCCCCGGGTGGGGGGAGCCGCGGGAGAAGCCCCCATGGCTGCCGTGCCCGGCCCCATCCCCCACCCCAGAATCTCAGCAATAATAATAATAAAAAAAAGCCACACACTTACCGGCTTCGGCAGCGGCGATTGGGGGCCTCTGGGGACTCATGCGGCAGTGGGGGGCATCAGGGATTCTCCCCCCCACCTGGCACCCACACAGCAGCTGCCCCATGGCGCAGGTGCAGCGCAGCTCAGCAGGGTGCCACGCACTTTTTTTTAAGGGCTGGGAGGCTGGGGCCAGGTGGGGGATGGGGCTGGGCAGGACAGCCATGGGGACTTTTCCTGCAGCTCCCCTTACCCAGGGAGATGCAGGTACAGCTGAAGCAGCCACGGGAGAGCCTGCAGTTGCCTGGCTGTGCCTGCCTATCCCTGGCCAATCCGAATCTCTGAATCAGCGCCAAATCAGCACCGAATCTCCAATTCCGATTCAGCCAAATTGAATGGGAACAGTGATTTGAATCACCGAATCTAATCACTGCCCTCTAAATTGGCTGAATCTGAACCAAATGCTTCCCTATTCGCATGGGCCTGCTTAGCCAGTTGGTCCCAAGCCTGTAGTGGTACATGGGATTGTTCCATCCTAAGTCCAGGACTTTGCACTTGTCCTCGTGGAAGCTCATGAGATTTCTTTTGGCCCAATCTTTCAATTTGTCTAGGTCACTCTGAATCCTAGCCCTACCTTCCAGCGTATCTACTACACCCCCAGTTGATGTCATCCACAAACTTGCTTAAGGTGGAATCCACCCCATCTTCCAGATTGTTAATGATGATATTAAATAAAACCCTTCAATTATGGGGTACAATTAAGTCCTGAGCAATTTCAGGGCACAAATGGATGTATGTTATCTTTGCAAAAACACTAAGATTGAGGATATGTGTTGTGAACCAATTTCTGGACATGCTGAAGTCCAGTGAGACATTTCTACAGAAAAAGAAAAAACTGTGTGGTTATGAACTAGTTAAATGGAAGCCAGGATGAAACTGTAAAGCAGTCAAAGATGACATTTCTCTCACAGAAGTGGAATAGCGACAAAACTGATCTCAAATGGTGTTCCAAAGAGATGCAGAATATGCAGACTGCAACTGCAAGTTGCCAGTGTACTCTATGATCGCAACAGGGTGCTCCAACTTTTCAAATGATGTGACAACTAGAATTGGAGTCAAATCTCAAATTTTATACATTAGTGAAACTCTCAACTTCACTAAATTTGGATCAATGAGATACAAATCACACCCACACTTTGTGTGATTCAGACTGAAAGAAAACTAGATGCCAGCACTGACAATCCAACCAAAATAGTAGCTGAGGGGAAAACCCTCCACTGATATAAATTGTTTTAGACCCATTTACTTTAATTAGCCAGTGCCAGCCTACATCAGCTGAAAACAGAACCTAAACCTAGTCCCAGTCTGATTATTCAGAATTTTCCCTTTGCATTAATGGGAGAGGAGACAGGCCGAGAGGCGGAGATGAATCATGATGTAACATGGAATTGTCATGAATCTGATCAAGAAATTATACTTTTGCTTTTCCACTGTTTATTGTTGTTATTTTCAATACTATAAAAAAAAATCCAACATGGAATAAATAGAACAACTCCGTAAATAATAAAAA